TGAAGAAACAAAGTCACCTACATCTTGGATGCCCTGGGGGTAAGCAGATAAACATCACATTTTCATTTTTGGGTGAACTATCATATCATAACATATATATTTGTTATATATATGTTATCATATCATAACATATATATTTTGCCTTAGCATGAAGTTGCAGTTTCACAATACATGAATTACACTTACGAATAACAGTAAAATGCTGCAAATAAATTTTTCTTGCGCTTGAAACGCGATTTACACCTTTACAAAGCTTCTCTTGCGCATGCAAATTTAATTGACGCTTACAGTCTTATGTACACTTCCACAACTCTTACCCTGCGTATGCAAATCTTTTTGACGTCATTCTACCTTCATAGAAATGGAAAATGTATTCAATTGGAAAAATGGAAAACTGTTCAGAATTTTTGACCATACTTTATGGGGTATTTAGCATCCTTTGAAAATGAAATTAAGCACATACAGAAAAAATGCTCAGGAACAGTTGACAGAAAACCTGATAAAACCTCAATGCTGACATCTGAACATGTCACATGAGCTACGTCTAGGTGGCAGTGTTGCATTAAACTGACAAATCAACTACTTGGAAATTGCAGCATAAAAAAAGTTACTGCAATATTCCAGTGCCCTCTAAGTGATACTAAAGCATGGAATATGTTGATTCATCACACTGGGTTTCGAGTGTTCTGTTGAAAATAACTCTTTATGATGCTTGTTTCCCAGAAGCCAAGCTTTATCATACATAAGAAGTATATTGATGTTCTCTCAAGCGTGTCAGAGACAGCACAAAGCATGTGTTATTTTTGAGCACCTTGTTTATTTCTTATGTTATGTTGCTTTGCTGGTGGACTTGAATATCTTTAGAAGCTTTGTAATGTTTTTTTACATAGTGTTCACCGACGAAAAAAACCCAAAAAACTTTAAAGATAAAACTGATTTGCAAATGGAAGTAGGTCCTTGTGATCTCGGCTGTTAATATTTAAACTAGGGATGCACCGATCTGATATTCAGTATCGGTATCGCTCCGATACTGCCACTTTCTGCTGGATCAGGGTATCGGTCAGACGAGACCGATCCAAATCCGATATTGTGCGTATACTATACGGTGTTATTGTTAAGCCCTACGAAAGGCACAAAAACATTATAAAGCACCATAAGGTTTCCATGCATTATATTTCAAGTGTTCTGAGACCGTTCCATAGTTTAATGTGAGGTACAGATTAATATTTAAGTTGTTAAATTGAAGTTCACATAAACTCTTCTCTCCGCTGCGGCTGTCAGTCATCCTCCATTCAGCATTCAAGCTGCGTGTCGCTTTCAGTTACGACAGTCAAGACGATGGAACTCTCTCTAGGATGATACAATGTTCCTATTATTATACTTGATCTGTAGATAAACATCAGCGGTTTTGCATAAAAGGACTTTATCTTGCTGGAGAGTTTATAGCTAATTCTAAATCTTGTTACCTTCTACCAGGTGTCTGTTAGAGTTAACTACACTGGAGTACAGAGCACTATGAATTGTTCTTCACGTGCACAGTAACTGAAATTTTAAACTGTTAAAAGAAAAGACGCAGTATGAATTGTTCTTCACGCGCACAATAACTGAAATTTAAAACTGTTAAAAGAAAAGGCTCAATAAACTATGGCACAGATATAATACACTATGCATCAATGTCTCTTCCCTTTGAGCTTTGAACTTTTCTATGCGGAGCGCTGCGCGCTGTGACTCCATGTTGCTTCAAGCGCATCATTCTAAGCATGGGATGCGCATAATCACTTTGTACCACTCCGTAATGGAGTCTTTCATGTTATAATACTTTTGCGCAATGAAAGATTGCTGAATTATCCACTAACCTAGTTTATAATAGTATTTTCCTCATAGGTTATGATTATATATTTAATTTGTTATTTTTCTTTATAATGAAGTTGTCTATATTTAGTAGATTGTGTGTAACACACAAAAGAGTGATGATCAGGTCAACACACACTGAGGTATAGCAATAAAAAAAAAAAAAACTGTGCTGGTATCGGATCGGTATCGGTATTGTCCGATACTCAGAACTTTTGGTATCGGATTGGGATCGGTTCTGAAAAAATGGTATCGTGCCACCCCTAATTTAAACCATCCCTAGAAGTGTTATACAAATTTTTGAGGCCACGTTTTTGTGCTTGATTGTTGAATTCTAATAGATAGCCACCATTTAATGTCCCCAAAGTGCACTTAAACTAAGTTGCGAGTTGGAAAGGGTTACCGTTACCTTGCACATGCAAAGTTTTATACCAAAACAAAGACATTTCCACAAATTTTTCATTCTGATTTCACCTGAGCACTTCACAAAGAGGTAAATCAAGGCCTCGTCTGCTTGGGGAAGAAAAGAGATTGGATTTCAAAAGCAGGCGAATCCCTGTAAATCTGAACGACAACAATAACACCGGCAGCAAGCAAACGGCTGTGAGTTTCTCTCGCAGGTGCCTCAATTAGGGAAGCGGTATGAAAAATGCATGGCACCCTTACTAGCCTGCGTGTCAGCTATCTCTTCCCTTCCAAGTGTCCTCTTCCTCTTCCCCTGTCTCTGACAAGTTGCGGCGGTAGGCAATCAAGGCCCGGAGCAGCCCCCAGGCAATTTATCTCTCAGCCAGTCTAACACGAAGGGGCAAAGGGCTATGGAGCTCGGCAAAATGATAATGCCTCCTCAGATGAATATTGCATGTTGATCAGTAATAACTCCCCGACTGCATGGAAGAGGAAAGAGACTAGCGGGGTGATTGAGCTCATAGGGGCTCTTGCATGATGTGAAGGAAATGCCTGCATGATTTACCCCATCGTGACTGTCCCGTCATATACCACACCAGTATTATAACATAGGCTACATAGTTTATGTATCTTTAGGGGTTTCGCTGAAGCATTACACAACAAACCGGCGGTTGGAAATGCGATGCCTTAGCTAGGTTCATTACCATGCAGCT